CAGAAGAAGGGGATGTGCAGAACCCCCAGTTCCCTTCTGGATTTGTTGTGGCAAACTGATCTACCCCAAAAAAATCTGAAATAGAGTGAGAATTGACAACACCATCATACAACAGACATCCACCACTTTCCCCTATTATATGCTTGTAAAATAAACGAAACATACACTCAAATATGCAAGGGAAACTGAACTTGGTAACACTGTAAGCTAGTGTAAGCCTTTCACATATATTTGCCCCTGAACTGCAACAACGTGAGTTGAAATGACAACTGGGGAGATTTAGATTCATTGAAGGCCACAATATGTAGTTTCTATATTTTCCTCTAATTTACTAATTTACTCAAAGGAAGTTCCATAGGAAGATTGATTGTTGTTGTACTTACATCTGTTGGTTCCCTTGAACGTTTGTGAATGTACACCAATATCTCGTGTAGTTTTTTTTAGGGTCACTGGAGATTAAGATTGAAGTTTACTGTATGTGAAAACTTCTTAAATAAGAAGTATGAGTTTGTGCATATTTCTATCTCCTGCTGTGTCAGTGGCAAATAAAAAGTAATACTGAAAACCAGAAGTTATTTGACAATACCATCATACAACAGACATCCACCACTTTCCCCTATTATATGCTTGTAAAATATACGAAACATGCACTCAAATATGCAAGGGAAACTGAACTCAGTAACACTGTAAGCTAGTGTGAAGTGTCTGGAATACTGCAGTGAAAAAATCAAGAGAATATCTTGTTGAGAACACGAGAAAATGCAATTTAAAACACTTGTGAAAGTAGCTGGCAACTGCAGAGTTCAGGGATTGTTATGACTGGATGCGGTGACGTCACAGCCTGGTTGTACGGCCTTCAATCTACAGGGGGCAGTGGTAGAACCCCCCCAAAAGCAAGGGACCCCTGCCAAACTGGGGGGTTTGGCAACCCTAGCGACGAGGATGATCAGGGGTCTGGAGACTGAGCCCTCCGAGGAAAGGCTAAGGGCCTTGGGAATGTTTCATTTGGAGAAGAGGAGATTGAGGGGGGACATGATTGCTCTCTTTAAATATTTGAAAGGCTGCCATTTGGAGGAGGGCAAGGAGCTGTTCCAGTTGGCAGCAGAGGATAGGACCTGAAGCAACGGGTTTAAGTTACATGCAGAAAGGTATCGGCTGGATATTAAGAGGATCTTTTTCATGGTCAGAGTGGTTCAAGGGTAGAATCAGCTGCCTAGGGAGGTGGTTAGCTCCCCTTCACTGACAGCTTTCAAGAAAAGACTAGATGAATATTTGTCACAGATGCTTTAGGCTGCTCCTGCATTGGGCAGGGGGTTGGACTAGATGGTTTGTATGGTCTCTTCCAACTCTATGATTCTTTGATTAAATGCTTACTCCCTATTTTGTTGCCAAAGTGAATTGCTAACCAAGATTCAGTGTTTCCTGGAAACCCTGTCCCTACAAGCTAGTTAAAGATAACTCAATGGCTCCCGTTTTTCTTCGTCTTTTTTTAAATGCCTCCCATTTCATGTTCACGATTACTAAATGCACACTTACATGTGGTCTTCGGCATATTGACTCAGAGCTCTTTCTGAATACATTCCTTGTGCCAAGAAGCTGTAGACATCCATGCTAGTCCAAAGCAAAATCCAAAAACATGAACAAAAGCAATGTATTAGGAGTAACCCAAATGACAAAAAACTGCAAGCTTTTGAGTTCTTGAGAACTCTTATCCGGCTGGTTGTTGTGTGGAGCAGAGCTGACATCTGGTCACAAACTAAAGACCTTGTTGGCCTCCTCTGTGAAATGCTGAGCAGGCGTAGATATTTGAAATGGTGCTGGTATCGGGTTGTCGCTCCACAATCTGTACCAGAACTGACGGTACTATGTAAAATTTGTACTATTTGGCATACTATTTATAAAATGTATAAATATTTTAAGGGGCAATCCTAAGTGGTCCTGCTCAAAAGTCCTGTTTTATTAAGTGGGATTACTCTCAGGAAAGGGTTCTTAGGATTGCAGACTTAGTTTTCTGCAAGCAAAAATTTACCCAATACTAGAGAAAGAAAGTTATAAGTTTCTATAATACCCTGTGCAACCTAAGCACATATATCTTTTTTTCAGAGGTCACCAGAAGAAGGCAAACATCAGTCCACAAGTAAAAAAAGCTCAGTATGCTCTTCTCACAAAGATGGTGCCACCCTTTAGGTGCCGAAATGTATATTGGATTTTAAGTGTTATATATGTCTTCAGCATGTATAAGAATTATTGTAGGTTATTTTACATAAAAAACCCTCTTACTACACATGTTGAGCAAAACCTCGTATTACAAAACATTTCACTTGTTCGAAAAGAAAATATTTATAGGATTTCCCCCCCAGTTGTTTGAAAAAAGACCCCTTCACCTGAATTTTCTATTTCTCCACTAGTCTTCGCGTCTCTGATATGACCCCCCTAATTAAATTCATTTTGTGTTAAGTTTTGGTCTACTTCTTCATGAAGTCTGTGCAAAAGCAGAAATTGGTTATTTTCATTACTGAGTATAAGAAGCACCTTTTCTGATTTGAATAAAGATATTTGCTGAGTCGTTTCAATAAAGACAGTTACTGGATTTTCTTAATGAGTGCCTTTTAACATTTTATATTACTATCATACTTACCATAGACATGACTAAAGTTGAGAAATATATTGGAAATATTGTTTGTAAGAAAATGGTATACTATATCTTTTGGCTGCCTATCTTTGAGTTTATTATTCCTTAATAAAAACATGAATTATCTTTGATTTGTGTTGGCCATCATCTGAAAAAACATATAAAGTTATATATCCATTTTTGGAATATCAAACTAAGAAGGTAATATTTTCTGTAAAGTCTTCCGTAATGGAGTTTTTGTGTTTTGTGTCTGATCTTTGATTGTAAGAAATGTTGATGATGACATTTTCTTCACTATTGGTTCAGATGTAATACGCAAGTCCTGAGTAGTCATAACATACTTTGCTAGCAGAATCTCAAGGAAGTTTAGTAATATGTGAAAAATTATTCACTGTCTTACAGAATCAATTGGATATCTCATATTGTCGTGGTGGTATCTTTAGACAATGTTGAAATAATGAAGTCTATCGTAAAACGGTATGGCCACAAACGATCAGTGATAGTTGAAGGTGGAACAAGTCGTCATAGATCAATCTTCAATGGACTTGAAATATTTGTAAAGAATTCCCCAATCCAGAAACCAGAAGTTGTAATTATTCATGATGCTGTGAGACCATTTGTTGAGAAGGATATTATTTTTAAAGTGGTTATGGCTGCCAAAGAACATGGGGTAAGTATGAAGTCTTTTTAGTTACTTTACTTTGCTTTTCTCATGGAGACTCAAGGTGGTTACAAAATTTTTAAAATGTAATACACTATAATCAGGGGTCATTCCGTAGAAAAAGAGGTGCAGGGGCTCATTAGCATAACTTATTTGCATATGCCACACCCCCTGACATCACCAGAAGTGTGTCAGAAGGCAACACCCACCGCTCAGGCTCCACTGGACTGTTTTGGATTGCTAGCTATTGGGGGGGGGGGGAGAACGTGCAGATCTCTCCTTGCAGAGGAGGGAGAGCTTGTATCTGAATAAAACTTGGTCTTAAAGGTGCCCCTGGACTGTATTTTAAATTTATCGTTTAGCTTACTGGAGTTGTCTTGCAGTAGGCTCGACATACAGTTTTAATAATCTCAAGGAAAAGGGAAAAAGAATCTCACTTGGAGCATGTAATTTTCTTTTATTGTCAAAGTAGCTGTTCTGGTCATTATTTGGAATTTCAGTGGATTATATTTCAAAGTCGGAAGGTCAGGATTGCAGTCTTCAGGAGAGCTCAGAATTTCTTTTAAATCCACTCCAGCATTCAGACATTGGGTGTCATGGCAGGGCCAGGGACCGTGGGTTAAACAAGTCAAGTCCAAAGCCAGTCCAAGGTTCAGCCAATAGTTCAAAAAGCACAGAGATTTAAACAAGTCCAAAACAGTTCACAAAGCCAGCGTCAAACATACCATACGTCATAGTCCATAAATCAAATGAAGCCAGAGTATCGCAGAGCCGAAGTCAGGGTCAAACAATGCCGAGTGTCAAGGAGCCGAAGTTCAGAAGCCGAGTAGCAAACCGTCAAGGTTTCAAGGAGTCCGGAGCAGGATTGCACAGAGCGTCTGGTCCTGTCAACTGAAGTTGCCAGTACGAATTGCTGCAAGCAGCAGGTTTGTTGATATAGCGTGCTGGCTCATTAACTTGTTATCTCTTGCTGAGCAAGGTCATGCTGCTGTTAAAACTCAGGGCTGAATGAGCGTCTTCCACGCATGCGTGCAGCCTTGCGTCTCTCATTCAGCTCCTGTCTTCTTTGACTCCTGAGCCGGTTCACAGGTGGCAGGGAGTCGGGTGGTGAATTGTTTGAGTTAAGCAGAGCCTGATCCGGCGCAGGTGTCTCTTGGGAGGCTCTATCCTCCTCAAGACTTATAGTGTTTTCTGTTAAAGGAGCCAGTTCCTGGCTGTAAGGCTCTGCTTCTGTGGTTCCATCAGGGGCTTGTGGTGCCAAGTCCACGTGTTCCTGGCTGTCAGGTGCTACATCAGGGGCAGGCATGACATTGGGAACTGCTTGGAATTGCAAATCATTTCGTTAATCTAACTCTCAATATGTTATAATTTGCTTGTATCGCTATCACTAGTAATTTCTAACCATTTATCACTGCTAAAGTATATCAGGTGGTTTGTATATGGTCACTTGTGTACATTCTAGGTAAGTAACTGCCTCCTTTCTTGTGTTCTATTGCAAGAACTGAGATGTTGTTTACTTGGTGTCATGATCTGGGCTGTGCCACCAGAGCCTACTAGGCCCTGGGAGCCTGGCTAGCCATAGGGGAGGCTGGGCCTACAAACCCCAGAAGGCCTTGGGAAGTTTTGGCTCCGATTTTGACCAATAGGGAAGAAGAGGGCTGGGGAATAAAAGAACTGGTACAAGAGGGAAAGCTGTTCTTCTTCCCAGGGAACAGAGCTAGAAGGGACTGAGGCTGCTGTGAGAAGAAGCCCTCATCCTGAAGTAGTCTAAGGCCACTTGTGATAGTGAGCTAGGGACAGCATATATTTAGACACGTTAGGGCATTTGATTTATTTTCTTTGCACCCACTTAGTGTTATTATTCTGCACCTTGTTTGTTTGACCTCCTATAAAATAAACTATTTTCATTGTTCACTCTGCCTGGTCCTCACACCTATTATTCGGCCAAAAGGGAGGTCTAAAGGCCTGGGAGGGTGCTCTGGGCCTTCTCAGAGGAGCCTGAAACCAGAGTGGTGGCAGCATCAGGTGACACCCCACCCGAGCCATGACACTTGGCCTTGGGGATTCCCACCATGCTTTCTTTCACATGGGGAAGTGAACCACAAAGCACATAGAGTTATGAAATATAGGATCTCTTTAGTCACTTGGTTGCACTCTAAGTAAAGGCAGTGTCCAAGCTTTATTCCACTCTGGCCGGCACAATTCTTGATACCAAGACCAAGCTGCTCTTCTCCTTTGGTGGCCCATTAAAGTCTAAGCTTTTGGAACATATAGAAGCAATGTCAATGCTGAACGTTTTGGTAGCTTAGGACCCTTACAGTTATTTTAGATCTGTAGCTGTCTTCTAGTAGTTGTCTAGCAGTGTTTTATATTAAATCATAGAGTTCATTCACAAAGTATTAACTGTTCCAAGGGCAACTTTTAATACAATGAAAAGCAGCTGCAAGGCTGCTGATCCTACTGTGCATAGTCTCTTCTTGTGTGGTGGGATGTGCTATTTAGACAAGAAGAAGCCTGAGAGAGAAGCTGCAAGGAGACAGGATATTAGGATTCTAAATGAATAAAAAAGGGTTACGTTTTCAATTCAGAAAGCAATTATTTCCTTTTACATGATATATTAAGAGACTTCCTGGTTTAAAAAACCTGGCTGAAACCTCTCATTAAATCACTCAAGCAACAAAGATGATGCTGTATTGAAGTTCAGGTTCTGCATACCATATAGATAGCATAATTGTATGAGGTTTCAGTGTTCTTAAAATGGCAATTGATCAAGTAGGATATTGCACTCCCTAATTCCTCTTGTCAGTAGAATAAATTACTTTATTACATTTACTAATCAGTTTGTTATTTGCCTGAGGGATTCAAAATGTGCAAGTTACCAAAACTACTAAATTATGCCTTAATAAATTAATTGTGTGAAACAATCCCCCTGATTATGTTAGAATATAGCTTTGTAACCAATTAAATTCCATTTATGTTTTGAAGCAATTTATAATTAAAATTATACATTTCTGCAAACAGTTTTTGTTGCCAATACAAGTTGTGGAAGGTAGTGGAAACAGAAGAAGGCAGTATTCCAAAGCCCCCAGCAACTTTTTTATTGCCAACAATTTAAACAGCACCACAAAGTAAAGTGCTTGCAGCAAGTTTAAAAAATTAATCTTGTCAATCCTGCTTGAAAGATAGGATTGAGAGGCAGAGACTCTAACAGGGTTTGAGCTGTATGTCTGATTCTCTCCCTGCTGCTGTATTATAAATATCATTTTCACATTTTCAGGACCTACATTTTAATGGATATTCACACTTCATGATTCTTTCTAAAACACTTCGGATTCATATTTATTAAGCGAAAGAGGCAGCAAACTGAACGCGAGTTTTTTCAAGCCTTGTGATAACATGTTTAGTTCCTGAAGTTATACATACTGAATACAATATGTAATAGCAGAGTAATAGGATACCTTGAAGGCTAATGAATCTTTTGTGTTATAAGCCTTTATGAGTTAGAATCCGCTTTATCAGATGGACTGAGTCCTATGTTGCTCGTGGTTATAGGTGTCCATGATTTTATAAGGAAGTTATTTAAAGATTAACTTCTGTTTAATATGCTCACAGGACATTGCTATGTTTTGTTCGACTTTTGTGTGTTTTGCATTAGATCAGGATAGCTACATAAAGAGCTTTGATGTACTGTCTGTAAAAAACAAAAACCCAGTTTGTTTGGAGTGTCTCCTGAGCTGACTTGGTGGTAGTTCTCTCTAAAGTGATTAGCAAGCAAGAAGAAAAATGTTATGGAAAGACTATCTGATAAACAGTCATTTATAATCATCTGATTTTAAGACCAGATTTAAAAATAAAGAGTTTTTTAAAAAAAAGACCAGATGGACCTTAGAACGAGGTATGCTAACAACTATACAACTGGTTTATACTAATAACCATACAACTACTTTTTTTGGGGGGGGTTTAAATGTTTATTAAGAGGAAGTATAACATATCAAGAAATATAATAACTGCAAAACAGTATACAACTGTCCTGAAAATCCAATATTACAAACCAACCAGTTAGTCATCAATACAAATTTTTACAACATATATCAACAGTCATAACAAACTAATCATAGCTCACATAGCATCTATGTATAAGTGATCAGATTTAGTACTAACCATACAACTACTCTGAATGGGATTTGTGAGAACGCTTATGTTTTTAATGGAAAAGCTTATATATTTACTACAACAAGCATTTGTAGGTAAGCAGGTGAGCAGTCACCTGCTGGGATTCAGAGATGTTGTGCATCCTGGCTGTTGCTTGTGGCTCTGCTACTTGTTCCCTGAAGTATGCTTTCTTAGTGAAGATTGATCATCTTGTTTGCTTTAAGAGGGGATTAGACATTCATGGCAGATAGGCCCAACAACGGCTACTAGCCATGGTGTGTAAAAGGAACCTCTATATTCAAAGGCAGTAAACCTCTGAAATTCTCTGCTAGGAAGCAACATCATGGGAGGGCTTTGGCTTCTAGGTCCTCTTTGTTGGCCCTCCAGGGCAACTGGTTGGCCATTGTGGGAAGCAGGATCCCCTGGTCTTCTTATTCTTTTTACCATCTGTTCATAAAACCAACTCCTGCCTGGCTCAAGGGCTACATAAAGTATGGTCTCTGCATACAGCGGAATGCGATAATAGAGTCCTGAGTGATAGAATGTATCACCCACCATTTCAAAGTGAAGGCTGGAGGGATGATGTTTTTTATTTCCCTGTGTTTAAAAAAAGCAAAAACAAAACAAACAAACAAAAAACCCCTCCCTGTGACTAGAAAACTAGTATCTTCCTACTGTTCTACCTAGGTCAGTCTTCTCCTTGCTATGCTAATTATTTTTATTTGCTGGGCCTTTATAACACTTCATATTGGAATCCGGTAGCACCTTGGAGACCAATAAGATTTTGGGGGTACGAGCTTTCAGTAGTTAAAGCTTCCTTTGTCAGGTACGTTAACACTTTAAAATGGCATCTCCTA